TATATATATATATATATATATATATATTTATATATATGTAATAGTTAGTACATGTGTTAATAATTATACTACACAACAATAATATAAGTATTATTTTTTTTATTCGTCATACGCAATTATACAATTGTTGTTTTATTTTGAACTATCTTGTAACATACATTTTAAATAATATATTTTACTTTTATTGTAAAGTTAAGTGTTAGTTTATTAAGCAATAATTTAAATTTTATTCATAAAGATAACATTTATCTTTATGAATAAAATGGGCACATTTACTATGGCCATAGTAAAATAGTATATGCCCATAGTAAAATGTTTAATTTATCGTTAAATTTATTCTTTCCACGAAAACTAAATTTAATGTAACTGTTTATTAGATCATATTAATTATATTTATGACTTTATGAATAACTATTGGACGATAAAACCATATCATTTGAAAATTGATAAGAAAAAGTTAACTGCTACAAACCTTTTTAAGTTGATAAGATCGTGACAATTTAATTGTATACAATCCATTATATTAATATATAAAATTCTTCTGTTATAGAATTTAATTACAGCTATAAAAAATTCTCTTATTATGTATATAAATATAAGTATATATACATATGAATACTTATAATATTTACTGTGTTATCTTTAACTTCACTGTTATAATATTACTGTATTTTGAATATTGTTTCAAAAGACATAGACTACATTAAACAATTTTTTCAATGATTTTGAAAAATATTAAAATAATGACAATTTTGTCAATTATTTGTTTTATATCAAATGTTCAACTACTCCACCATAGTCATCCAGGAGAAATATTTTCAGGGCCATCTGACATTGTACACTCGGTAACAAATAATTGATTATTAATATTAATTTTTTCTTTATTTTTTAAAAAATGATACAAAATTTATACAATTATGCTAACAAACAATTTTTTTTTTGAAAATCGTTATCTACAAACATCAAGGTTTTCATTTATCATTTCATCATTTATTATTATAGAATAAAATTTCTCAATATTCGAACGTTTCCTATATTTTTATATATTATGTTGAGTCTGAAAAATAAAAACAAACATTTTTTATGCTAGATTTATTTTAATATGAATGGTGTCAAATGGATGTAAATATAAAAAAAAAATGTTTGAACTAATTTAAGAAAATTTTACACATGAAACATTTAATAAATTTTAAATTTTCTAGATGACAAAATAAAATATTTTGGAAAACAATTCTTTTTTATCATATATATTGGGATATCAAACATTTTTTAAATAATTCAAAAATAAAATCATCTCAGAATTTACGAATAATTGATCAGCCGAAATAGCACACCATAAATAATGTTCCTTTCATTCCTATGTGCAATGTTACATATCTTAAAACGTTTCATGGGATGTGAAAACATTCCATACATTATAACTACGGTGTTAAAGGTGGTATATCCCTGAGCTTTTTAACAATTGTTTTTTTCAACACTTATGAAATGTTTAAGGTATTTTACTTGTACTATCTTTGTGCTAAAACATTTGAAGTTTGACATAAATCAGGAGGTATCAAAATTCTTTCTGTACACACCAAGAGTTTATAATGAGAATACTTTAATTTATTTAAATTTTCTTTTAAAACCAATAATCCAGAGTGTAAAACAAACATTCTTAGTTATTAGTTTTATAGTATTATATAATGCCTAATTCTCTAGTCAGCCGATTAATTCAGATAGTACATTTTAAGTTTACAATTTATACTATTTTGAGATAATTTAAACTTCAACACCCAAAACCGTAATTCATTTTCAGCACTAAATGATACACCCTTTATTGAAGAATTATCATCACAATACACATTAATATTTGAATAGTAAATATCATCTGTATCACTAAAATTTTCACAACACTGTGATGTAGAACTATAATTAACATCTAAAGTTGAATTTATCTACATTCTAATATATGATGTATAAGCATATAAGAGTTATTTGATTTGTTTGAAAATGTTTTTTAGTTCTATTCTTCTAATTTTAATATAAAAAATTACATTTTACATAAATCAAAAAACTATATTGTCTTTCATTTAATTTGCCCCTTTGTACTCTTGTGTTAGCATATCTAAGCCAATCGGCAAATTTTATTTTTACATTAGAGTTTGCAAAAGTTTTTTGTCATTATCTTTAATACATTTACAAGAAGGAAATAAAACAAAATAAACTTAAGAAAAACTATACATAGTTGAATAATCAATATGACAACTCTTATAATGTTTGACATAGTAAACATTTGGCTATAATTTTTTTTTTAAATAACTATATGATATGATTTAAACGTAGTCTAAGAATGCAGAAATGCTTTAAAAAAATTATAGCTATTTGTAAATTGATGTTATAATAGTTATCAGTTAGATATATTCTTCTCTGTATAATAAATTGTAAAATTATTTATAAGTATTCTGATTAATTCAGAATTTCCCATTTAGTAGTTATATTATTCTGAAGACCAGTCCATGTACATTTACTAGCATATGGATTAGTAAACAGTTTGGTCAAAGACTTTGTTATATGCTTGTTGCCATCTCTTCTCCCAATAAATAATAAAATATTCCTATAGAAAAAACTCAAATTTTATTAAATTAAAAAAATTTAAAAATATATCTTATATTTTTGTAAAAATGTTGACTAGATTAATCCATTATAATTTTTTTTCTCGTAATAACTAAAAGTATAATTACCAATTTTGAAACAAAATTGCATTCAGAATGGCCAGTTTCAAGAAATAAAAATTTTTCAACATTATCAATAGGAAATTTTGATAGAAATAAATAGTCTAACAGTGCGTTTTTATTAACATTTTTGTTTGGACAATATCTTTTCAATATTTTCTACTTTTATAATATTCTATTTAACATCAAGTTCATTGTTAGATTTGTAAAAGTATAATCAAGAAAAATAAGCTAAAATGGAATATACATTTTACAAACAAGGTGGTTCGTTATTTTTACAATCACANAAAAATAAGCTAAAATGGAATATACATTTTACAAACAAGGTGGTTCGTTATTTTTACAATCACAAATAATTTTAAGCATTATTTTTTAATAATCCCAATGTATTTATGTCTAGCTAAAATGTATTTTTATAAAAGCTCAATCAAATAAGAAAGCCCTCCTCATAAACTGTATGGATTATTATACATTTTGATTTTTTTAACTTAAAAATTTGTTAAGAAGTTATTTATTCTTCAATGGCGTAATTACAGAGTCAAGCTCGTGTCCCCTGACAAAATCTAAGGATCGCTAAAGTATAATTTTCATTTAATATAGAATTTTTTTATGTTACCTTTTATATTTATGCTTACGTTTATTAATTTGTTTAGTTTTATTAGTTTGCTTGATTTAGTGAAGTAAAATGTTCGTACGTAACAGCTAACAGTTTTATTATATCATTGAACTAAGAGATATAAATAAACTATAGTAACAAAAAACAGTTATTTTTTCGTGCAAATTAAATTATTTTATATATTCATTTTAACCAATGGCGTATGCAGGTCTTTTTCAAGGTGGGTGTCCCGAGATATAAGAGAATATTTAACTCTTGTTTTATTGAATAATAATGTTAATAACAGATAATGATTTGATATTTTATTTGACATATTATATTAAAGTTCATAATAAAGATGTATTTTTTAATTCATTCTGTTAATTTACAATGTAAACGACTTTTTATTTTTAATTTCTTTTCGTTACTTTAAAAAATACCTGTTGGTAGACCTCATTCAAGAAAGACATCCCCTTAAATACTCTACTGAATTGTAAATGTTCTTTTTTATGAAATTAATTAAGAAATTTTTTTTTGTCACAAAAATGGAATGCATTGTAATATTTTTAATATATATCGCACAGTTGTTATTACATTTTGCGAATAAAAGTATTATAATAAACTATAAATTTATAGGTTGCTAACGCAGGAGAGAATGCAATCAATGGTGTATTAGATCTCCTTCCTTGTTTTGGATCAAAAAGTACACACGAAGAATGTAATGATAACCACCATAGTAATCACCAAAAAAACTGCTAATAAAAATATTGTTATATAAGATATGTAAACAATATACAGTTATTTATTATATTATTAGACCTAAATAAAAACTAAGCATAAAAGACCAATGAATTAAAAAAATATTTAAAACTTATGAAGGCCATAATATAATTTTTTAGCTTCGATGCGAAGCTAAGAAGGTATTAATTTTACTATGATGTGTTTTTTTATTTTTTTTGGCTTCGACGCTGTAATATTCTCCTTTTTTTTAAGTAATATATATTCCTTTCTTCTAAAAAGTATTTTAATAAATAATCCCGACGGAAAAAATTGGATTTTTAAAAAAAGTCGATGAGATATTAAAAAATTCGAACAAAAATAACAGTAAAAACCATTATATCAGGCCCATGAAAACGATTAAACTTAGTGGGTCATTCTTAAATATTAAACAACTATAACATCATAAAATTATTATACGAAAAATAAAACTTTTTTTAAATCCATTTTTATGATTTTTTTCTGATATTATTATGGTTTTATTACTTGAAGCCAGACTCAGGTTCTGCGTCAAAATTTTATAACAAATTTATCTAAATATTGTACACCCAAAAAAATGTTATTTTTCATATACTTGTTTTATTGGTTCAACAATTAACTATCATGAATATATTATTAAAATAATTATGAATATAATTTTTTTTCATAGGAAAATTTCGTGAAAAATCTTTGTAATTTATATTCTTAACTGTAAATTATCAATTATAATTATTATTGATTAATTTTTTAAATAATTATGCTACATTATATTATTTTCGTACGCTTTATACTATGTATGAACTTTATTTCATCATATACAAAGAAAATAAATTGTAAAAACTACTTATAAAGTAAATAATCAACTAGATATTTGGGAGTGTAATATGTCTCAGTTCTCAAATCAAAATTTTTATTGTCATCATTTTCATCATTTTTATCACTTGAGCTATGAGTATAATGTTTCTTTCTATCGATTGTATTAACACCAGGAATATAAAGTGGTCGATATATGTCTTCATGATTTCCTAATTGTTCTAAAAACATAATCATGAATTATAATTTTTATATCAAAAAATTAATACATTAATGATAATTAAAAATAGTATAAACAAGTGGCTATATAGCGAATAGAACACATATTGGTTAGTTATTAAAATTATTAACAGTGATAGGATGTAGTAAACAAAAAAACCTCTTTATTCCTTCTCTTTTAAATATTCAAAATAAATGTATTCTGATTGCTGTCTTAATACAAAAAAAAACACAAAAGGGAAGAAAAAGACGAGTGTTGAGCATATAAAAATAATAATGAGTCTAGGTTTGAGGTGTAAACAAAGTTGAAGACACAAATACTTTAGGAATAGGAAGGGATAAAAAATAGAGGTACCTGAGTATGAAGTGTAATCGAAGTACAAGACACAAATACTTTGAAAGTGTGGAGGAAAAAAGTAGACAAGTGTAAAGGGAGTCAATAGGAATGAACAAAGACTTGACTATATACAGTTAACTAGATGTTAAAACCGAGTACTGAGATTGATGAATTTAACCAAAGTATAGTGCTATGTACTAGAGTCGACAGACAACGATGGTCAGGTCCTCTGGGTTTACTAAGTTATAGGATGATTGCTAATTTTACAGTAATTGTTTTTTAATGTCAGTTCATCAGTCGATAGTAACGATACGCTGTTTGTGTTTTATTTTATAATATATTTAACAATAATGGTAACGTGACACCTACACAATGCTTATTTATTTTTTTGTCACTTATTAATGTTAAAAAAAAAAATATTGATTTGGTCATTTTTGAAAAAGTTATGACAATTTTAAGTGAAAAAAAAAAGGTAACGCAGTGGGTTCGTGGCACAGTATGGACGTGTCATAGTTGGGACAAGTATAGATGATATCTGGCAGTGTTTAAAATCACTATGATAAGAAACACTTCGATGCAAATCTGTAGATAGTGTTTAATTTTAAGAGATTGATAAATTATTTAAGAAACAACCATAACTCTTATTCCCTTAATTTTATCCCGATTTATAATTATAATATATGAATACATAATAATTATTGTAATTAAATTTAGTATGAAATTGATATTTAATAATATTGTAATTTTTACGAAAATATTATAAAAATAAAAAGGAGTTGTATATATTCATATACTTTTAACGCGTATAAAAATTTTAAGTGATTGATGCAATACTTTTTAATAAAACAATTTTGTTACTTATGAATAAATACACTAGACTACAAGGGTTTTTTATCAGAAACAAAAATATACTTTTCTAAATCATCTTTTCGCGATATTTTCAAATGTGCAATTAAACTTTTTCTATTACTTCTAAGTTTTAATATTATTACTTATCATTAAAAAATAAGTATTTATATATAAATAAAAAATAATTAAGAACAAAAAAAAAAAATTGTTTTAAATTAATACGGATTTTGATTATTAATATATAAAAAATAAAGAATAGACATATTTAACCTATTTTTTTAATCGTTTAAAGTTGATTTTTGTGAATGCTTATAATAAAAAAAAATTTATTTATTTTACCATAACTTTTGTTCAATTGGCAAGTTTGACATTGACATCATTAAATAGAAAATTTTATGAGAATTAAAAAAATTGTGTCGTTAAGATTAATATGTAGTTAGGAAGTTTTATAAATACTATTTATAATAAATTTATCCAAATAGCTCAATATTTTTTTGCATTTTTATCGTAATAGATAACTTAAATAGAAGTAATAGTAATCATTTCCAAATAACTTTTGGTGTCAAAAAGATTGTGCGATTGAAATATTCAGAACTTAATTAATTTTAATGATTTACTTTAACTGAATGAACCAATCAAAACAAAGTTGTTAAAAAGATTTACTCAATTAAGCATATTATAAAATTTGATTTTAATTGTAAAAATCCATCGTTAAATTCAGGTGAATCTAAAAATCATTTTTTTTTTTATATTTATGATTTATATAGCTACATATTACAAAAAAATTCGGAATACTATAGACTGGTTGTAGCACACACAAATAGAGTTAAAAAATTAATAAATTACAAAGTAAAATTATTTACTTTTGTAGTTGAATAATTTTATCATATCAAATCTAATTCGACAATAAATACTTTAAGAAAATTAGAAATTAATGATTTTAATTGTTTGTATGGAAAATGCTGGTTAAGCTACTTTTTATTTAAATAAGGAATATTTTTTAATTTTTGAGGGTATTATCGTCAACTAGATACGAATTGTAGTTATTTGACGTATTGTAGAAAAAAGTCGGACAAATTAGAGCAGAGAAAATAAATAATAGTCACAAAAAAATATTTTCTCAGCTTTGCATCAAAGCTAAAACTTAAAAAATGTAAAATAACTTTAATATAAATAAAAAATTTCTTCTCGTGAGTGGCGACACAGTGATGGAATCCTTGATCTTTATTGAAGTTATTGAATCTAAATGAGATAAATATCAGAGCAGTTGAAAATTTATTCTAACTTAAAAAGAATTAAGAAGAAATGCAAAAACTTCATTGCCATACGGGGGTTGGGAACCTTGTACCCCCAGCGTGTTAAACACATGTTTTACCGACTCGGCAACCGTACGTCGCTACCGTTGAACGTAAAAATTGGCTATTTAAGGTAATTCAAATTTCAAAGTTATTTTTCTCGACTTCAAAAAGCAAAAAAATTTAGATAAGTTTAACTTTCTATGCTACATCAATTATAGTTTCGATGCTTTCGATTTCTTTCAATGATACGTCAAAAGATCGCAAATCGTATCTAGTCAAAGACATTACCCTCAAAAATTGAAAAAATTTCTCTCGTTCTCCGTAAATGTCTTAAATTAAAGCTAATGTAATATACTTTATTATGGAAAAACAAATTTCGGACTTTATTTTACCTTCACGGTGAAAATGGCTATCAAATGCTATTTTTGTGTGAAAATTCTCGATTTTGTATTTTAAATTTTTAACTTTATTATACTATAACTTTTTGAAAAATGCAATACAATTTAGTACAATCACGAAAAAGTATATTAACTTACCAATAGGAATATTATTTTTTATTGTATTTATAGTTGTTACCCAATTAGAGAATGATTTATGAGAAAATTTTTTTGCTATTTCAAAATAATACTGATATTTTTTTAATTCTGATACAAATAATACAATTTCATTAACACTCTTTTCAGTAATATCATAATAGCTACTAATATTGCAATTTATGCTATATGTATCAAGTGACTGACTAAAACAGTTTCTTAAAATATTTTTTTTCATATAATCACTGATATGTTTTGAAATTTTTTGTATTTCACTGCTTAAGAATAAATCCTTACGTTCTTTGAAAGAAGAAATAACTTTGTATGATAAATTAAAAACACGATCAATGGTCGTTGTACATTGTTCTATAAATAAATTCATATCCTTAAAGGATTTCATATTTTCAATAATATTTTGACCCATATCAATAATTTTATATTTCATCTCGTTTTTTAATTCCTCATTTTTAAATTCACAAGCTAAAAGGAATTTTCTGACTAATGAAAAATAAAAACGTATAATCATCATAATTGGACGAACTGTTGCTGCATTTACCAAATTTATAAATGCTTGTAAATTTTGTAAGTCAAAATCGAACTTGACGAAACGAAACACATCCAATAACTTAATTTGATAATTATTAGAACTATATAATAACAACGGGGCATATCGAACCATGTCTAAAACATCGTTTAGTTCATTGTCGCTGTTGTATCTAACATATTGTTTTGCTTGAGAACCCGATTCAAGATCTAGCTCCAAAAAACAAGGCCGATTTTCCATCAAATCGTAAAACAAAACATTTTTCGGATTGAAAATATTGAATGATTTTCTTTCAAAAGCCAACGCTAACTGTTTTATTATGTCACAATAATTTTTTAATTTTTCATTATTTTCCATCACAAACATGTCTCTTAAAGTCAAATATTCTTTCATAATTTTAATTATTTTATTATTTAGTTTTTCGATTTCATTACGTAAGACTTCCAGGCTGTGTTTTATTGGCTCTTGAAAATTAGTTAGATATATGAAATCATTTTTAACTGATATATTTAAACAGTTTTCATTTAAAAAATATTTCAATCTTCCTACAATTGAACGATGTAGAATTTTATAGCCTTCAAGCAAATTCTGTGATTTATCAGATCTACTGAACTCGCCATATTTATTTTTAGCAATCATATTTATAGATTCCGAAACGTTGTTCAAGTATAAATTTACAGTCATTAAATCTGCTGCGATATACTTCTCGTCCATTTCATGTAATGAATCTAACATTATCATAACAATTTCGCCATGAGATTTTACTACTTTTCCATAATCTTTTAATTCAGGTTCAGAAATATTATTTTCGAAATTAAATAAATATTGCTCATTGTACTTGAAATAATTAAACAAATGTTTAGAGAAATTACAATGCAACTCTAAAGGGTCTAAGGAAATTGAATATTTTTTGTAAATGATAACACATACAAAAAGTTTAATTATGATCATTTTGACGTACACTACACTAATAAAAAATTCAAGCAGTCTTCAACAAAATACTTCCAAAAGTATCACATGTTTTATAAGTATGCTAAAAATAAGAGTAAATATAATACAATGATTTATTTACTTACAACAGAAAATGTATATCTATAATATAATTCTATTTGCTTTAATTTAATTTATATTTCAAAAAATATGTTTCAATTTTTATTGTTTTAGTTAATCTACTTTTACGTTATGCCTGTACAAAATATAGATTTAAGTTTATTCCTTTTATTTTTTTTCTTTTAGCTTCGGTACAAAGCTGACATGGTAACGTATATTTGGTGATATGTTTAATGTACGAATACCCGTCTCTCTCATCAGCCGCCTTATAACATCGCAAGTTCAGCCTGAAGTTTATCAATAAAACCACGGCCAGCAACTGAGCGTCAGCAGTAGAAGATCTACTGAATAAGTGTAATTAATAATTTTTTTTTTTTNAATTCTTATTTAATTGAAGATATTACCCTTAAAAATTGAAAGAGAATCCCTTATTTAAATACAAAGTAGCTTAACCAGCCTTTTCCATACAAACAATTAAAATCATTAATTTATAATATTTTTAAAGTATTTATTGACGAATTAGATTTGATATGATAAAAGTATTCTACTACAAAAGTAAATAATTTTACTTTGTAATTTAGATTCTTTTTAAACACCAAAAGTTATTTAGAAATAATCACTAATTTTTAAGAAAAAAAGTGAAAAAAAAATGACAAAATTTACCGATTCTAAAAATTGTAATTGTTTTGGAGACTTCCCCCATTTGCGGAGAATGAGGGCTAAATTTTCAATTTTTGAAGATAATGTCTTCAACTATATACGATTTGTGATCTTTTGACGTTTTGTTAAGAAAAATCAGCCCAGTGAGAGCTGAGAAATAATAGTGACAGACACAAAAAAATAAAATAAACACATCTTGGTAAAATTAATATCTTCTCAGCTTCGCACTGAAGCTAAAAAAGTTAAAAAAAATTTAAATAGTGCTAAGTTTAATACAATTTTTATTGTTAGATTAATCTTTTGACGTATCGACGAACAAAATCAATCCAGTAAGTGCTGATCATTTGTGTCAAAAAAAAAAAAACAAATAATATAATAATAATAACATATAGTAAAATTAATACTATCTTAACTTCCCATCGATGTTAAAAAAATAATTTATAGTATGACTATGTTGGAATTCCATGTATATAAAATAGAAATATCAAAAAAATTTCATCAAATAAAAATTTAATTACTTGAATTAAACAATACATCAATTTTTGTAAAAAATTATTTATTTTAAAACAAGTTACAAAATTAAAAGTTTTTTGTGAGTACAGTATGATGAAACATTAAGATACTTTTATCAGTAAAAAAAATGAAAAAGCTGTTTAAAATTTGAAAGTATATTTTCTTTCTTATTTAAACTAATCTGGTTTGTTTTAACATAGAATTAAGCAATAATGGCCAGGTAAATGTTATGTATACAAAGTGATAGACAGAGAAAAAACTCATAGTTATATTAATACTTTCTCAACTTCGACATGATGATTAATTATTCTAGTTACACATACCAACTTTTAAGAAAGAATAGGGTACACATTACAAATAAAATATATTGAATAAATATTATTAGACATTAGTCAATTTGGTAACTTTTTTTTTCATTGCTTCTATTATGTTAATATTATATCTCGACAATTACATAAAAGTTAGTTGCTATAATTATTGTTATGAATTACCGAAATGAAACGATATTAATTATTAATTGTATAACACAGAGTGGGCGTGGTGTAGCACGGTGGACACACTAAATGTTGACAAAACCTTAGTGTTAAGTCACGTCTGCCACCGTAGTATACGGATGGGTGACTCTACGTGCGTTTTACGGTGGAAAAAAGTACCATGTTCCAAGTGTAGAAGGCAACGGAAAACCACTGCACTTATTCCTTCCCAGTAAAACAATGACAAGGCAAGACCTTTAGTAGAGAATGAGAATGAATAACAAAGAGTAAAGTATGTACCATACAAATTGAAAAATAAATATAGTTTAAAAAAACTAAAAAACACGCTTTTAAAGAACATTGAACTAAAAAGTTAAAAATAATTTTTAAAATAAGCGTAAAACAATAATGAACGAAATGTACTAATATTATTGTTTTACGCTTATTTTAAAAATTATTTTTAACTTTTTAGTTCAATGTTCTTTAAAAGCGTGTTTTTTAGTTTTTTTAAACTATATTTATTTTATAATTTGTATGGTACATACTTTACTCTTTGTTATTCATTCTCATTCTCTACTAAAGGTCTTGCCTTGTCATTGTTTTACTGGGAAGGAATAAGTGCAGTGGTTTTCCGTTGCCTTCTACACTTGGAACATGGTACTTTTTTCCACCGTAAAACGCACGTAGAGTCACCCATCCGTATACTACGGTGGCAGACGTGACTTAACACTAAGGTTTTGTCAACATTTAGTGTGTCCACCGTGCTACACCACGCCCACTCTGTGTTATACAATTAATAATTAATATCGTTTCATTTCGGTAATTCATAACAATAATTATAGCAACTAACTTTTATGTAATTGTCGAGATATAATATTAACATAATAGAAGCAATGAAAAAAAAAGTTACCAAATTGACTAATGTCTAATAATATTTATTCAATATATTTTATTTGTAATGTGTACCCTATTCTTTCTTAAAAGTTGGTATGTGTAACTAGAATAATTAATCATCATGTCGAAGTTGAGAAAGTATTAATATAACTATGAGTTTTTTCTCTGTCTATCACTTTGTATACATAACATTTACCTGGCCATTATTGCTTAATTCTATGTTAAAACAAACCAGATTAGTTTAAATAAGAAAGAAAATATACTTTCAAATTTTAAACAGCTTTTTCATTTTTTTTACTGATAAAAGTATCTTAATGTTTCATCATACTGTACTCACAAAAAACTTTTAATTTTGTAACTTGTTTTAAAATAAATAATTTTTTACAAAAATTGATGTATTGTTTAATTCAAGTAATTAAATTTTTATTTGATGAAATTTTTTTGATATTTCTATTTTATATACATGGAATTCCAACATAGTCATACTATAAATTATTTTTTTAACATCGATGGGAAGTTAAGATAGTATTAATTTTACTATATGTTATTATTATTATATTATTTGTTTTTTTTTTTTTGACACAAATGATCAGCACTTACTGGATTGATTTTGTTCGTCGATACGTCAAAAGATTAATCTAACAATAAAAATTGTATTAAACTTAGCACTATTTAAATTTTTTTTAACTTTTTTAGCTTCAGTGCGAAGCTGAGAAGATATTAATTTTACCAAGATGTGTTTATTTTATTTTTTTGTGTCTGTCACTATTATTTCTCAGCTCTCACTGGGCTGATTTTTCTTAACAAAACGTCAAAAGATCACAAATCGTATATAGTTGAAGACATTATCTTCAAAAATTGAAAATTTAGCCCTCATTCTCCGCAAATGGGGGAAGTCTCCAAAACAATTACAATTTTTAGAATCGGTAAATTTTGTCATTTTTTTTTCACTTTTTTTCTTAAAAATTAGTGATTATTTCTAAATAACTTTTGGTGTTTAAAAAGAATCTAAATTACAAAGTAAAATTATTTACTTTTGTAGTAGAATACTTTTATCATATCAAATCTAATTCGTCAATAAATACTTTAAAAATATTATAAATTAATGATTTTAATTGTTTGTATGGAAAAGGCTGGTTAAGCTACTTTGTATTTAAATAAGGGATTCTCTTTCAATTTTTAAGGGTAATATCTTCAATTAAATAAGAATTGTAACAATTTGACGTATCGTTGAAAAAATTAGGTCAAGTGCGGGTTGGCAAATAAATCGATCCACGAAAAAAAAAACACATATTAAAATAATATTAACATGAATATAAATTTCTTCTTACGAGGGGAGACTATAGTGATGAGATTCTTTATATTTATTGAAGTTATTAAATCTAAATGAGATAAAAATCAAATGATTTCAAAATTTTTTTCTAACTAAAAAATAAATGCAAATATTATTTGCCACAGGGGGATTTGATCCTCGTACCCTTAGCGTGAAAAACACAAGTGTTACCGATTCGGCAACTCTCCGTCGCTTTCATCGCTTAATAAAATTAATAATTTAAGCTAATTCCAATTTTAAAGTTACTTTTTCGGTGCAAGACGGTCGCTTGCTATGAGAGAGTAGAAGATCGGAGGTTGGGCTTCAATAAGATACGTCAGAAATTCATAAACTGCATGTTTAATTTTATCACTAAAATGTGTCATCATTGTAGTTGGGGGCAATAGAAATATATAGTTAGAAAAAAAACATTGCATGATTGTGTTTTTGTAACATTGCATCAATAGGATATCATAAACGTTAAAATAATGTTACTTATCAACATGTATACCATTATTACATCGGAACAATTTTTAAACATTGAATGAATGTGTTTTGTAATATTTCATACACTTTTTGTTATTTAAATAATGTTATTACATGATAAAACTAAAAATTTTTTCAACGAAATAATTATAAGATTTTGCATTAATGTTACTTAGTAATGTTTTTTGATAATCATAAACCAAAAAAACCGCAACATTTTGTAACATAAATTTCACAGTGGTTTTTCTTCTTCAAATCAATGCATTCATACTCAATTACAAAGTGTTATCTAATAAAAATAGTCCCAGTTTTTTTTTTTTATAATGATTTGTACGTAAAATTGTATAGACTAAAATATAATTTATTTTTATAAACCATTGTAAAAATAAGTTTCTTAAAGAAATAATTATTACTAAGGATAAATTTTAGGTATACATTTTGAATGTTAAATGGGAAAATTATATTTTTTTCTATTAAATGGAGTAAAATATATTACGAATTGCAAGTACTTCTATTGGTTGTCTGAAGTATCTCTTTAATTTTAACAACAGTATGAACAACATGTTTTTATTTCAGTAGGTAATGGAAAACCTCTACATTTACTTTTTCCATAATATAATAGATCAACATAAGTTGGTTGGCGTCAACCGACTTATTCCAGTTGTATAAAAAAATGTAAATTCATGTATATTTGATCAAAATAGTCAAATATTTTCATATAATCTGTATAAATTTAAAAGCATTCAGTTGATGCGATTGCGTAGTTTTTGTAATGAATATAATATACTTTTTATTAAAATCAATTATTAAAATATTTATAATGTTTATAAAATAATAGCTCAATTATTATACAAATTTACTTTGAATAAAAAATATACTTTAATAAATAAATAAATAATTAAATTTAATAGTAGACTACGGTAAAATACTTGTTAAATTACGCCACCTACCATATTAGAGAATAAAATGTGATGGGATTACTCGAATCTGTGCTAGATAGCACCACATTTTTCATTTTCAAATTACTTTAGTTCATTATTTTCCAAATATTTCTGTGAATTATTGATTATAATAAAATTTTAAACTATAATTCATAATATTTTACTAACAAATATATATTTATGGTGAAAAATACATAAAATGTAACTATTAATAATTCAACAAAAAAAAAAAAGGTATATTTGAATTTACTTATTAATTTGTTCTAATTAGTTAAAATAAAATACTAAGAACATTTATTGCTCATAAAAATTTACATAAAATTAGAAAAAATGTAATTTATAGTAATTTTGTGTAAAAAAAATATGTTTACCTGTCATAAAACGATTCTATCTAATGTAAAGTAACGAAAATGGCATTGATAAAATATCATTAGTACTATAAAATGTTATCGCTTAAAAATATTCGGCATATTAAGTATCGTTAATAAAAATAAAATTATAAATTGAAAACGTTATTTGGCATATAACACTTGTTTTACATAAAAATAATGAATCAACAAGACAAACGCTAAAAATTGAACGACCCGACTAATAAATACCAAACTATCAAATTTAAATACTATACACTAAGAATTTATTGATATTCTTCGTGTCAGTATTACTATCACAACATCATATTTAATTGCATTTTTTATCTACATACTATCGTTTTTGTTCTGTAATTACTATAGTATGACTAAATGTGCAAGGTCTGGTTCTGTCTTTAAAATACCTTTAGCCTCTTGCAGAAATGATTCAATTTCATTGCTTAAATTCTAAAATTTTAATAATTTTAAAGACTATGACCATATTAAAAAAAATGATAAAAACAGATGCACTTGTATTACTTGTTTAGGTTTGAGTTGAAATAATCGCTTCAGTCCTTGTTGAATATAAAAAAATAGAAGTCCTCGAAATCTAGTAAATCCTGGATCCAACACATCGGCTAATTTTAATAATTCTATACATATTTTAAAATTGTTTTCCAATTGACAAATTGTTAAATCTGTAAATTTAATTAATATATTTGTTTCATAAATAGCTCATTGATTTTTTTTTATAGAATTTATAAATAAATGTAAAACTTTTATAATTCTAAAAATTAAATTAATTGATGAATTTCATTTGTAAAATTCATATTATTATCATAATAATTATATTGGTGAATTATTCAAAATGTTTAAAATATAAATATTTTTTATGTTGATATTTATAAAATATAAATAAAATAAAATATTTTTCTTAATTAGGTACAAAAACTACCTAGTATTTTAATGCTATACATTTGAACTAGTGTATATTTAATTTTGACGATGATGAAGTGGTTGCTGTGAAATAGAGGAGTTATTTTTTGATCTAAAAAATACTCTAAAGTAGCTAGATCAATGTTTTTGCCTAAACTTTGTATACGACGTTCTATTTCTGATATTTTTAGATTATAAATATTCCAATTATGTTCTATTCTACACAACTCATTACATTTCAGCTGATACGGTGTTACGTAATCACCACATCCTGAACATACCACGGATGACAAATGTGTTCCAAACTCTGTCAAATCTAAGCATCGTTCACACTCACAAATAAAACATTTAGCTGCCTTCAAATGATTACGACGATTAAATGTGGGCCACAAGGATTGAGTATATGTCGCTGTTATTGTTTCACCTTTTTTAATGTTAACAGTACTTAACAGTCGAATTTCACCATTGTTTCCAGTAAAGACGTGTTTAGTGTTGGGTTTGCAATTATGAGCCAACATCGAAGCTTCTGCGTAAACTGCTCTCATTTTTGCTCCTCCACTGTATCGCACTTCAAATGCATTAGTATCTAAAATAGCTGCTGTTTCCAATATGTCTTTATCGACAAGTCCAGAAGTTCTCATGCCTAGTCGGTCCAACATAAATTCTACAAGGTTTATCCGATAAATATTATATAGTGGCGTATTCGAACGCGCTTCTAAGTGCGACTGAAGACGGCGAAATTTTTCATTATTATTACCTTTAAGTAGTAAGCACCTGAGAGGTAATACGAAACAATATGCAGAAAAAGAAAAACAATTTTCAAAGTTTTGGTCAACGCTAAACGGGCTGTGACCCGTGATTAGACGACACTCAGCCTCAGAATGATGTTGTCCACATAATGGATAATTATCACAAGTCGGCCAACCACAACTAGGACACTTGTAAATAGCTGTTCGAAGTTTTACGTGGCATGCCAGACATACAGGTGGTGAAGCGGCTTTCGGTCCATACGCTAATGGTGTTTCAATCAATAAAGTCTCACAAGCTATTATATCTTCCCGGGCTACCCAGTGTCTACCAAGTGTTTTTGACTCACGCACTTCATATAAAAGTCGATGACATGTATTTTTGTGCTTCATCCAATCATTGAGCTGATGTTCTCTGCCACAATAATATACTCGATTGCATTTTCCACATCGGTGTCCAGCTGGTTTTCGGCATACAAAACATTGTGCTTTTGTTTCTAAGACGACAGCCATGGGATAAGCATGAAACAGTAGTGTAAATATACTGAGGAGTTTACAATTAGAAAGGGTAATTTTATATTGAACCAATAGCAGTGTATGCCAAGACACATTCCAATCGATGCAAAAATAAATATACGCATAAATGTTTCTATATAACTTTTTGGTATTCGAAATCCGTGCTAATCATTTTTAGCCATTAGATACATTTCCTTTTGGAATTTTTACGGCTAAGGTTTAAGTGCAACGAAAAAATAAAAACAAAAGCTATTCAGATGAAAAGTCATCTCGTTTAACATAACATAGTCATAAAAAGTCCCGAGGGTCTTATGAGATTCCTTTCAGTGGCTCATATAGTCAAAGAAAAAAATTGAGCATATTTTTACTGCATATCTGAGTTTTTATAGAGTTCAATTTTATGCCAGCCAATAAAGTATAAAAATAAAAAAATAGCACGTATCCATGCATAAGGGTGAAAAAGATAAGTTGACAGCGTACGGAGAAGGTTGCTAGCGAATCACTAGAGGGTAGAAAAAACAAGTGCATATGGTTTGTATAACATTACGATATTATGATGTTCACTTGTAGAAAAAAAAGTTTTTTTTAAACAATACAATATTCATCATTTTGGACGACGGCTATCCTTATAGAGTTTATTTGAATAAGGTATTAACTTGGAGGGACACAATATGTTTTTTATAAGTTGCAAATACGTATACAAAAACTGTCACACTTAATATGTCTATTGAATGTTTAATGGACAAACATGAGTCAGGTGGATTACAAGGAAATTTTAGTAGAATAAAAAAATACTGTGAATGTATATGCTGGTAAATAGAATAATTCACTGTGAATTAACGAGGGTTGACATAATATTTTTCACTGGAATAAAACAAATGATAAGTGACAACAGTAAAGGGTGACTCTGTGGAGTTGTTACAGCATGTGTTCGTTTGTCCTAAAATATTCATCAACCAATGTTATGTAGTAAATGTTCAAATGTGTATGTTGAATGCATATTAAAAACTAATAAATATTAACAATTTTCAAACTACTTTTCACCATCCCATCAGTTCGCCATCTCATCACCAATGATTTTAAAAATAAAATTTGATACATTTATATGCTTTAATTTGCTAATGTCTATTTGAGATTTCACTGATACTTTTAATATTTAGAAAATCTAACAATAATCTTTTTTCTAATAAAAATAGTTACAACAGTATTAAACATTTTTTAAGACCCGTAAAAATTATATAGAAAAAAGTACTAATTAGATTGAAATATTTTATTGACAATAAGGCGATTAGTCTAGTTACTGAACAACTCTCAATTAATGAAAATTGTTAGATTTTTATGTTGGGTAATTATATTAATTAATGATTATTGCTTCAAAACCAAAATTTTAAGCACTGATTTTGTCATTTGAATGTATTTTAAATTTTTGGACTTGCATTTATTTTGCAACATGATTTTTTGATTTGATATCGTTAAAAATTCAAAATAGCTGGAATGATTAATTTAAAAAAATACTCAAATATAAATCGTAGAATTAAAGTTTTATTAAACGTCAATAAATTTTTAATTGTTCAATAACTAGATCAATTACTAAACAACTTAAAATTTTTATCTCAAATGTTAATACCAAAGTGTATTAGTTATAGATTTGAGTAAAACTCTATCAACTTAAATTTTTTATCTATATTTTAAATTTAAATATGGAACAATTTCAAAACTAGATATTATGTACATTTTTTAACTTCAGTAAACATTGTGCTATGTTGGATTTAAATTATCAAGAAATTAAGGATGTTGATTAAATCAAGTTAAAATCAGTTAAAGTATTAGTTTATTTAATTTAGGTGAACTATGATAACTAATGTTGACAAAATATTTATAGTAAAAAATTATAACAAAACCAGTATTTTTGTGATACTATTTTTTGATAATATTATTATTTTAAAATTTTATCAAATAAATTAAAAAGATATTGAATTTTAACAATTTTATTCTTTGATAAAATCTTACTTTGATTATTCAATTAAAAAATAAATAATTATTATTATTATAGTTTGAAATATGTTTCATAATTTATAATGAAACAATATACGATAATTATTTAATTATATTTCTTTAATATATGAAATATATAGATGTAGTTTCTGTGGTTATCTAATAAACTAATATAAATAGAAAAAACACTTTCAGTTTTTTAAGCAACATATTTTTAGAAGTAAGGAATATGATTTTTCTTATTATCTTTTAAGTTACAAATTTAAAATTTTTACTCATGAATCAATAACTTATGACCAGTTTTTCATCATAATCAAGATTTATAAGAAATAGAATATTCATCGATATTTGATTCACTGTATTTATTGAAATTTACAAATTATCAGTTAACATAAAATTATTATTTTATTTAGAGAAAATCAGCACCACTTCCATGGAGAATGATTTTTACAGTATTTATTATTTTGGTTATTGCTATGTTACTGTGCATCGTTTTTACTATTATTTACTCCTTATTATTTATGTTTTGGTATTTTTCTAGATTTTTCATGTATCTTTAAAAATAAAAGTATGAAATTTGATTCATACTAACAAGTTTTTTGTTTATTTAAATCATTATAATTAATTTCACGAACAAATCAAATATAAACTATATTAACTTTTTAAAATTTATATTTATCGAATTTTCAATTGTTTTTATTTTATGTTGAGATATCAAATAAAGATGTTTTGTTAACTGTAGGATTAGTTTTTGATTACCTGATTTGCTACTGATCCTAATTTACCAGATTATATAGACTCGATGAAAGTAGAAAAAAATAAAAGATGAAAACATGATACTTTGTTAAGAGCTGATAATTTTAGTGATAGTTTTATAAAGTATATTTTATATAAAAATAATTTTTTGTCGTAAATACCATACTATTTTCAGTAGTGTTACATACATAAAAAATGGATGGTTACTTTTATTTTATTTTAGATTTAAGTTACTCGTAGTATTTCAGTTTTTATGTGAATAATTAAATAGAACATTAGTACCTATGATAAAAATATTTAGCAGAATAATTTAGTATATTCATAGTTTTTGAAAATTCGAATATTTTTCATTATATAAGAGCAACATAAATAGATTATCATTTTTTGTTGCTTATGTCATAAAATATTAGATGAATTTTTAAAATGTTTTTATTAAACTTGTATTGTACAATAATTTTAAATAATTATTATGTTGTCTGGCAGTGCAATAGTGAGAAAAAATAAAAAATAAAATACTTCTCAGATCAACATTGTCCAAAGAGTAAACGACGGCCAAAGAATAGAAGGTAATTGAAACGTTACGAGCTCTCGGGGCACCGTCATCAACAGGCTTCGGTCGCTAAGCATGCGTCAGAATGGTATACCGCCTGCACCTCCTCAACACACCAGTTGTTCCCCTTGACACCACCACCACTACCACAGCACGAGCATTGCTATCACTACCAACGGGGACCCTAGCCTCTTTTGTATGACGATATTTTCTTCTTTTTCTTCAGTGGCATTCTTTGAACGCTCCCCGTTTTCTTTTCTCCCGCCTTTCTTTCTTTTGCCCTTCTTCCCTTTCTTCCGTTTCTTATATCCCCGATTTCCACCTCACCCACCTTACACCCTTTTACTCACCGCTTTTCGCGGGTCCAGCGGTCTTCCGCAGACACAAACTCCGCCCATAGTCGGCGAATATACCTTCTTACCGCCGGCCCACGGTAAACCAAAGCTCTGCAGCCGCAACCTCCGACCAAAGTACTCGCCGCGAAAAAAACACTTTTTTAACAGTCAGTCGCGTCTGTCCGCCTGTCCTTGACACACTCATCATCCTCTCGGTCGCCTCAGCTAACGTGCCGATCGCGTGACTTGTGTTTGAAAAATTCGATATTTTTTCGATAGCTACAAATTAACTCGTTTATTACTGAGTATAATTAATTAAATACACGTGATTTCCAAACGTAATATATAGGGCAATCATTGGTTGTCTACAAACAATGCACCTATCCGAGTCCATGCGCAACCGGGATGGGTTTTTAAAGGCAGATGTGCTAGCAGAACGGACGCTTGATAGTCTGTTAGCCGAGCACCCGGGTGAACTGGTCCGCACGGGCTGTCCACATGTAGTATGTACTGTATTGCCCACACACTGGAGGTCCAATAAAACGCTTCCAGTAGCCTTTAAGGTAGTAGCTTTGGGTGAAATACCAGATGGTACACCAGTCACTATTCGTGCTGGAAACGATGAAAATTTTTGTGCAGAGCTTCGAAATTGTACGGCCTTAATGAAAAACCAAGTGGCCAAGTTTAACGATTTGCGATTTGTCGGCAGAAGTGGTAGAGGTATGTATAACTTGTTGATCAGCAAGCAGTGGCCTTCTGAGACCTTAATACATGCCTGGATAACTTTAACACCAAAATTACTTTTACAAATTGGCAGGACCGTATTTATTATTTTGGCGTAGGAATCAACCTTTAAATAATATTTATGAGCAAAAAAAATGATCAACATTTTTTTTCTAAGCTTTCGTCGAACTTATTATGATAATCTAAAATAAAAATTAAGAATATAAAATATCATATAAAACATAACTACCAATATTAGAATAAAAATAATTGTTTTCATCGTCGACCTTATGTTGACGTTGTTAGTAATTGTTCTTTAATATTGAAATTCGACCATAAGAATTTTCGGGGGCCTGTTGACCCTCTGTACCAATCCTAATAAATGGTCCTGCAAAATAGTATACTATTAATAGTACAATGAAATTAATAATTAATTTTACAAAAAAAAAATTAAACAAATGATAAATTTAATGACAACAATTACAATCAGTTATATTTCAAAAACACCTATAATAATGAAATATTAAATTGAAAATAGATGAAAGTACTCAATACTTATTTATTAATGTTTATTAGTTTTGTTACGTTACTAAAATGTCAATTCAATACTTAAAACTAATATAAAATTTGTCTTGAATACATTTTTTAGTATGAAATATGATTAAAAAAAATATTACCCATATTGTTGCGTTTAATAAATTTTTATTTAAGTATGAACATTTAATATGAATTCCAACCTGTACACTTTTAATAAACTATACGGCAATCCAGATAGGCAAATTCTTCACTTAAATGCTACAAGATACATTTTATTTATTTATTTTTATGATTAGTATGATAATAGTTAATATTTTATACATTTTTGTACTAAAATATTTTAGAAGGTATGTTATTAAAAAAAATAATCTGTTGAAAAATTAAACAATTTGACAAAAAAAAATGATTTAATTAACTTTAAAATATATTTATAAGGTGCTGGTTGGTAATTTCTATCTTCAAAATAATTTAAAATTTTAAAAACTATTTTATTTTTTAAATGTTTTATTGAAATTTAAAAATTAGCCTCAATAAAATTATTTACTATGAAAATGAATATTTTGCGCTTTAGATAATAATAACTGAGTGTTTAACAAATTGTGACCATAGTTAGAGCTCTTAAAAACCCGTTTATATTGGATACGCAGGCTGAGTAAGGAAAAAGCTTATTAATAACGTCAGCAAGAGGCCTTGGGCGAGTAATAATAAAATATTAGTGATGTAAAATACAGTAGTCAGCGTGTGCGAGATCAAAGAGCAATAAATACAACGGCTAAGGCAGTCGAAACTTAAACGTTCTGGGGTTTAATAATATCAGATGACAGAATGAAAATAGAGTAAAAAAAGAGGCAGTCATTCCCCTACGCAACAGCAGAGGAAGGTATTTTTCCTCTAGGAAACCTCCCTTCACTACAAGCAATGATGACAAATTGGCCTACAAGACCCGAAGTAAATTGTAACGACGACAGAGGAATCTCCCACCCCACCCCTATTGCATCGTTTTTAGAAGCCGACATTATCCCTTTTTTCTGTTAACGAATGTCCCCAGTGAAATCCCAGTTACCCAAGGGCGAATAAAAAACAGCTCAACTACATCACCGTGGGTTAAAAAAATCGTTTTAAATCTCACCCGCTATACCAAAGCAGACGGTTTATTGTCTAAATAAGCTTATATAATATGCATTACACGGTAAGACTGTCTGGTGGTGTAATCCAAAAATGTGCGGCGCCTTTATTGTCTTATTGAATTACCGCTATGATAAGTAAAACGGTCTTATTAACCGATATTATCTCTTAGAGCCGTTCAAATCCTTGCTTTATTCTAAAAGTTTTTAAGCCTTGACAGATCATATTATTGCAAACTTAATAAGTTTTTGGGTACAACCAAAAAATGTCGATTTGATATTTTTTCATTAAATACCTAATAGCATAACTTAATTACTACAACTTTGATTAGTAAATAATACAATACTTGAAAAGTAACGTAATATATTCATAATTTTACCTGTAACTAGTAAAAAATAAATGATATATAATAATAAAATTGATAATAACATTTTCATAAAGCTTGTAAAACTAATTAATCGATACCTATCAATTATGTTTTAGGCAAAAGTTTCACACTTACAATAATGTTAAATTCCTGCCCACCACAAGTTGCAACATACTCAAAAGCAATTAAAGTAACAGTTGATGGTCCCAGAGAGCCTAGATCAAAAACCAGTAAGTTAATTAATGCCTATAACTCACTTGATAAATTTGATCAAATTAAATTAGGTATTAGGCCTATTATTCAATTCATTTACAGGGAATCAAGGATTTCATCCTTTCCATTTTGGACCTAGACCATTTCCCTTTAACACACCATTAGACCCGAATAGAATAGCTGAACTACCATTAAAATTATCAGGTAAATAAATGAAATATTATTTTATTTATATTGTTTGCTGAATTATTGGCAGTAATCTAAGAAATATACCAAGAACATTGAATATCATTTAAATTACAACACTATTTTTAAAAGATATAGAGAATCTAAAACTTTTCAAACTGTTAATATTATATTAATAAAAATGTATATTATTTAAAAATCGATAAAGTATTTGCAAATAACACGTTTTTGATTAATATGTCTATCCAAACAATTTTACTAAAAATATCAATTTTTGTTCAAATATGCTTAAACGACTTTTTCCAAAGAAGCAATTTAAATATTATATTAACTTGAACATTTTTTCATATATATCACGTCATTGTACACACTTAATAGAAATACATGCATTATATCATATTTATTGGCGACAAACAAGAATTTAAAAATATAGCTGACTTTAACATAATCTAAAAAAATAGTAAATTGGAAAAAAAATTTAACATAATGACGTTAGTCTACAATTTTTTTTATTCTAAATCAAAATACATTTATTAACAATATTATTTCATTTAGGATTACAATTGTACAAAAAAATTTTGTACTAAAATTTTTAATTAATTATTTGAATTATTAAAGATAGCTTTAAATCAGATAACAAGATTATGCATAGAGTAATTAAATTATGGTTAACCTCTAAATTTCGTATAAAATAATAATTTTGTTTTGGTTTTGAAATATTTTTTCTCAATTGTTGAAGTGATTAGATATTTTTTTGGTTTATGCCTAAACTCTTATAAGGGTATCTACTTAATTATTTTCTAATGGGAACATAATATGTTTATATATTCAATTAGCCCGGGATTCTACTGAGATAATGAATAGTCTATAACAAGTCTTGAACCAAAATTTCAAGATATATGAATATTTTTACAACTGTTTGAGAGTAATAATGTAGCAAAAAAATACATAATGATAAAAATAATATAACCTGCATAGTCTACATTTAAAAATGCTAAGATATTATAGATTGCTGATCAATAATATATATATATATATAGAATGTTATAAAAATAATAACAATAATAATGGATGTATTTAGTTAAGTAAATTGTAAAATTATTATAAACATTATCTATCACTGTGATCAGTTAATTTATGTAAATAATTAAACAGTCTACATACTCTAAAAATATTCCAGAAATTACTTAAATAGCCAAGGTATCTTGTTATCAAAAAAAATTATTATAAATATGTAATAATACATTATGAAAATAATGACATAAATAAAAAGTGAACAACGAAATTTAGAACAAAAATGAAAACTCAACAATTATCAAAAAAGTGGCAGATGATTGGCAAAATTAGTCGAGATGTATTCTTGCTTAATCGTAAAAATTAAGTCCATATGCGTTCATTATTAATGCGATAAAAGAAAATTCTGTTTGTTTTATTTAATATCCTATATGTAAAAGAAAATATATTAACTAAAAAAAAATTCCTTTTATTTGAATCAATAAAAACGCAATTTTTTTTTAATAATAAACATGGCAAGATAAAATTGTTATTTTGTTGGTAACTTATATTTTACCAAAAAGTTGAGCATTAAGCAATAAATTATTATAATTTACAAATAATTAAGCAATTAATTTAACTCAATAAGTGATTAAATAAGGTAAATGGAAAAATAGACAAACTTTTGTATACAAAAAAATATCAAGGAGTATGGTGCTTGATAACTGGCTCTTTTTACAAAACACAGTATAATATACTGTCTTGTTATACTATAATACTTTTGACAATTATACATTTAAATCTAATCAATAGTTTAATTTATGATATTTTTGTTGAACCCTCGAACCTCAATTCCTATTAGAAGTAACAACATTTTTATAAGAAAGGAAGGTATGACATAAAAAATATTCAACCAATACTTATAATTAAAAATAAAAATAATACTAAACAAAAAAAAAAATTTAACTATTATTATTTTAGGAAAAATTGGAGGTCAACGACACAATTATCACTGTATACACAGAATTTTTTTACCTAAACTGTTGTTAATAAGTTTTTATAGACATGTTGTTAATATTCTTTTTAAAAATATCCAACGATAATATTTTTTTAAAAAGCCAGATTATTCAACATTACTTTATAACAAACTCCATTAGATTTCTTCTTAATTTTAAAAATAATTTCATGAAAATTTTTCTTTCTCAAAAGTATTATAATTAAAAAATATTAAAAGTAGGAATTCTTGTTTACTTTAATAGCTTCTAAAATGTACGGTAATAATATACAGAGTGTTCATTAAGTCAGGAAACGGGTATCTATTGTTCTCATTGTTACAAACAATGAAACTTACTGAACACCCTGTAGAAGAACCCCATTAACATTATACTAATTATAAGCTAAGATTACAAATTTAATATACCACATAATTCGATTTCAGATTTTATTATCCATTAACTAATATAAATAGATTGATTAAATCAAATTTTTTTAATTTTCTAGAAATATGAATAGAGTTACATATATACAAATAAAATTAAAAGCAACATTTAAAGGAGAATGTTGAAAATAGTTAAAATCAAAATTCATGTACTTTACAGATCATCAAATAAATAAATATTTACCATCTAATAATATGAATAAATAGGTTTAGTGTGAAAATCCATAATTAAGACTACTTTCTTTATTAAATTTTTGTTTTAATAGATCCACTTTATAATTATTTAATTTAAATCACGTAGCTTATTTCAGCGAAGCTGAAAAAGTATTAATATAACTAGGATAATTTTTTTATTTTTGTCTGTCACCTTGTATGTTCAGCATACTATAATTTAAAATGTAGTAGACATTGTTTGTGAAATTTTAACATTTTTTTGCGTAGTTGAAAAAAAAATTTTTTGGCATTTGAAAATTACTAAAATTATAAATTAAAGCAATCTACATTAAAGAACTTCATGAAAATATAAATAATTTAATTAAATTTTGTTTCTATGATATTATCATAATAGTGTGTTTAAATTCTGAACAAAAGAAAAAATCAGTGTAATTAATTATAAGTGAATAATCCATTAACGAAACGTAAATATATTAAATTCTATAGACTATTCTATGTAAGAATACTGAAAATTATAAATTTTAATATTCCCATATACAAAAGTTCTAATTATTCATATATAAAAAAAAATTTTTGAATTTATGGCAAGATTTACAGTTAACAACAACTGTAAGTACAAATCGTAGTAGTTAAAGTACTTTTTTTTATTTATACAAATATATATTAAGAAAATTTGGTTGAAATACATTATTAATTTTCAATTAATAATAAAAGTATTAAATAAATTTGTGTTTTTCAAATTAACTAGTCTTCAATGTAATGTTTGCTATGATAAAATTACGACGTCTTAATTAAATTTATTTAAGTCCGATGAAATTTAATTTTATTGAAACTTGAATAGGAATAATGGGTTTTATTGAACACTTTGCTATGTAGTAAACACAACATTTGAGAACTTAAGGGAACCACGCGGTTTGGCGAAATCTAACGGGAAATTAAGTTATTTGTAGAATCCTTTATATTGTGGTAGTAAAATAGAACAACTACCGACAGATATCGCTGAAAGTAGCTTAGAAATATTAGAACATAATATAAGAATCTAATCAATTTAATTAAAAGGAAAAATTTTAATAATTTTTTTATCTCTTGTAATATTTTTGTAAAATTTTATTATGAAATGAGTTTTTTATATTGGTATTTATAATATAATTTATATACTTTGTGAAATATTCGTGAATTTAAAATATATATATGTTATGATGAAAAATTATCTAGAATAATATTTAGCCCATAATACCATTTAAGTATTTAAACTTCTTTTTATACATCTAATAAAATAATTTAAAATAAATGTATCACGTATGGGAATTATCATGTTTTAATGATGATACTGAGACCAATAGCTTCGTTGAGTTGACACAATATATTTTGTTTAAAGAAAACAAAATTATTCACAGGTGGTAAGAAGAAAGTTTATAATATAAATAAAAGCCATAAGTTGCTGCAATCATATTTTATCTGTACTCAGCACCTTGCTACAATGACTCTCATGTGTTCGAAACTTTAGTCTCTTTTTCTTTTTCACTTTCCTTCTCCACAATGGTGACAAATAACTAACACCACATTTTACGTCGGTGTCAAAACAATATTCCAAGTCGACGACATTTTATAATAATAATATTTTAGCATTCGTATGCATTATCATTATTTTGGAACCTCGTTTATTGAAAAGGAAAAAAGTTTTTCTCCTTTACTCTCTATCCAAAGCAGTAGTTTAGGGTTATGACAACCGTTCGAGATCGTGTAAATAAGTTCACCCGTGAATGAGTATGTGTTATTATAAGGCGAAAATTCAAAAGAGGAAGGGTACACACCCTCGTAACGGTAGCAAGCGTTTAACCAAGTCAACTACAAATCTAATTTCCACCTTGTCTTGTATACATATTATGTACAGATAATAACGGGCTGTGTATTTATGGGTGTTGTCGTCGTACGTGATAACATGTTTACTAAGTTTTATTCTGGTACATTTGCCAAAGAAGAACAAGATAATCAGGTCTTGCAAATTATTGGAAATTGATTCATACTATTCAATTGGATATGACTCCATTAAAATACTCAAATAACTTATTTCTAATTAGCGTATGATAAAAAAGTATATTACATGTGTTTTTAGTATATAAGCTCTATGAAATTTACGATAAATATCAGTTTAGTCCGAATTTAATCTAATCATCATGGAAAAATAATTATGATTATTGGAAAATTCATAATTGTAAAGAGAAAATTTTAGTTATATTTTAATGAGTTTTTTTTCAAAAGCATCTCTAAAAACCTTATATTAGAAATTTATTATTTAAGTAGAGGAGACGGTCTGAATTTGGAAGAGGTAACTAATATGTTATTTTGATGCTATTTTATTTTATTAAATATTTATCCACTAGCTAGTAGTTTCTGTGAAAACAAGGAAAGCATTTGTCAATCATATGATACGATTATCAATAATTTGTTATCATTTAACATAAAAAAATATAGTATTTCATAATATATATATTCCACATTTGGATTATATCCTCTAACTCAGATAAACGATCAGAGTTCTATGAACAGTTACTCTAAGGGTTCTCAAAAGTTACTTAAACTGATGCTATATTATACGTCCACTCTATGCTAAACACTATTAATTTTATTTGTTTTTATACAAATATTTAAGTAATCTATAGATTGTAATATGTCATAGATAAAGTACTATTAAAATAAATTATTATCTAAAAATGTTGTAACACTAATTGTTAAACAAACGGGTTAACCAAGTCGTTTAGTATAGTGTAACACGCAAAGCACCACCGACACTTACCACGAAATGCTAACCAATGAAATCACCACAAAGCTCATACCACATCCCAAGCTACGGTTTACATAAAACTTTACTTGGTTGGTTTAATTAAAGGCCAAAAGTCGACGAGTTATTTGAATTTATATAATTTTGAAAGAGGAGAATTTCGGCCAAATTAGTCTTTGTCCGACTATAACCTGTTATGCACGAGAAACTGAAATTAAGAGGAACCCTATAAACCATTTAATCTTAACATGATCTTGTCGAACAATTTATAGCATAGATGTGCAACATTATCATTAAGAGTTATACAATTAGTTATAAACAGTTAACAAGTTATTAACTAAATCGGAATCGTTTTTTATGATCTTTTTCGAATATGTTTATGAGAATCTCAAATAATAAAACCACAAAAATGATAATTATCTAAAAATACAATATAAACTATTAAAAAAATTTATTTTAAATGTGCTTTTATTTATTTTGCTCATTTACAAATATACTTTCTTATTTATTACGATAGAAATCAATTTCAAATTTTTTAACAAACTAACAAATGTATTTTTAACTTATAAATGAGTTGAAAATTAAAGGGAAAAAAAGAGGGTAAAAAGTTTTAATTGACACATAACATTCACTAACAACATGGAACACAAAACTTATTTTGGTTGCAAAATAGAACGGCGCATATAGTTTAAAATAAGTTTCATAAAAAAAGTTTTGTATTTTTTTGTTTTTTTCAATTAGGTATATTTGGTAGTCTTTAAAAAAAACTATAAAATACATTTTTTATTGGTTATTATAATAGGAAGCTTTTTCATTTTTTATAAAATGTAAAATAATGTTAAGAAAAAACTTATTTAGAAATTATGTTTTCTATTTTTACTCTAATTTATCGCTTATTTCAAATGAATTTATGTAGAATATATGGCAAATAATTTTATTTTACTGATTACGTTTAAGGTAATAAATATTGTTATAATCATAAATTTGTTTAAATTTTAATAAATCATGCTATTTATAAGTAATTATATTTGAAAATCACGTAGTTAGCGTCAATAAGTTCTGTATAATTTTTTGTGTGCATGATCAATAAACTAATATTTATATAAAGGTAATACTTAAAATAACTCTTATGCTGTATTCCTGTAAATAGTTATCATTAGAATTTTTATTTTTTGTAATATACCAATTATATACCATGATGTTTGCCCTTAAATCGAGACCTCCATCGAAGCAGAAACGACAATGTGTCTCTTCTTGAATTGAAAAAAGGTTATTAGAAAAAAAAATTTTTTCAATATAAAATTAAATTTATTCTCGGAATCGTTGATTTCTTAAGTTGAAATGTAAATCGTTCATAATTAAGCATTCTAAGCCAATGCACAGAGGGTAAATGGTTTTTAAGAAAAAATGATTAATAAATCGCGTTAAAAGTAGACGAAGCGTAAAACAAGATTTAAAATAACGGCCGCGGTGGTAGCTGTTGCAACTTATTTTGCGCCGTTACTCTGCCAGTGTAAAGTTGTGTCGGCGGGTAGACGCAGAGGGCTGGTGGAAAACCAGCGGTAGCTGTGGCAGCGACAGTGGCGTAGTCGGCGTCGGCTGTGGGCTTGGCTGGAAGCGGGTGACAGCGGCATTTAAAAGGAATGTAGGTTAACGCGTCCGCAGCGCCCTTGGTTTGGTGGTGTTGGTGTCGGTGTCGGTGTCGTCGTCGGTCAGACGGTGCGGTGTGCTTTGCGGAGAGCCAATGGGGTGTGCCGCAAGCCAGAGGAACCAACCCACCGACCGTTGACGTCACCGCCACAACCCACTCTAAGTTTTCTCGCGTATTTTCTTTTTGTCTCATTTTCTTCTTCTTTCCTCCGATAGCCGCTGCTGTTGTTGCCGTTTGGAGCGCTTTTCAGCGCTCACCAGTCCCACACTTCAAATACATTTTATCTGCCACAGTTGCTGTTTAGCATCAGCCTTGAAACGTTCTGTTAAAGGATAACGCAGCTTTTTATTCGAAATTAACTCATTTAAAAACTCCATGATCGTCAATATGAAACATCCTTGCTACTCTTTATATGTTACATACAATCAATCATAAAACACAACATACAAAAAATGTATTGTCCTAATAAAAAGTCTAGTTATGTAAAAACCGTCCAAAGCCTTTTTCCCAGCAGAGCAATTAAAAACTGTAATAACTAACTAACGAGTACTATATATATTATATGATGGCATTCGTGTACGGCAATTTAATTAGCACGAAGGGCTGTCGACAGCTTAGCACAAAAGGTGTACCGCCGCTGTCAACATAATAAAGGGATTCCTCCTCACTTTTCTCCATTACATTATAACAGAGCAACCCTTTTATATGTTGACGCTTGTAAAAGTTAAACTGTTGGTCTTCCCTACTTTTCCCTCTTTAAAATAGGGGTAAATATCATTTCTTATACGAGGTACACACTATCTTAACGCTTTTTCGCGACCTTTTACGCTGCTAAGTGCATATAACAACCCTTTTTGCAGCCAATATCATTAGACAAAGAAATAATTAAATTATTGGGAACACCTCAAAGGTCACTATGTGCCAATATATAACAGTTGTTTTTGCAACCTATCGTAACTCGAAAAAAAAAAAAGGAAAACGATAAAAAGTTGGTTGAATTATAAACAGTTTTAATTTAATGAATCTAAATTTCTTACTTTATCATATCCTCATATCTTCGAAGAAATGATTAATATAAGCATCATCGATGAAGTTAATTTAATTGACACATTTGTGGCTCATGTGCAAAATGTGTAAGAAATAAATAAAATTGACAGTATATATATATATTTAGAGTACAGCAAAAAAAAATATTTAAGAAAAATAACCACTCAATTGTTATTGTTTTCTATCATGTCTGCTTGGAGTATATAATTACAAACCGTTTTAAACTAGTGTCCATTATATAAAATAATAATAAAAACATTTTATTCAATAGTTATAAGAATAACGTATAAAAGTTTATAAGAATTTTTCGATTTTGGATATTAGACTGCAACAAAAGTTACATTTACCTTTCAATAAACGACTTAAATTTAAAACAGATTTTTCGTTTCAAATATTAATTGTGTTTTTTTTTTTACATTAGGACTTGCTCACTCGTGGGGTTCATCGCTTTCCAGGGCTTTGCCACCGACCGCATACCCACCGTATTTGGCAAACAATTGCGGTCCATCAACATTTCAACACTCGAACTTCACCAACATTTTCCCTTACAACGGGACCACCAACACCACAGTTAACACCGAAGGGATTCACCCACAGCGGCCAGCGATTAACTCAGGTAAGTTTTATCAAAATAGTTATTTATTCAATATTCAAATACCTACATTTCATACGTTTAAATAATTAAGTAAAGAATTTCTTTTAAAATAATATTTGATATTAATATTCAAAAAGTTAAACAAATTCTATCATATTATTATTGTATCATGTCTGATTAAAAAAAAAAAAAATGCATTTTAATGCAATTTTGCAACATTATTTTTTTTGATATTGGTATAATCATATATAAAAATATTTTGGTATATTTATCAGTGCCATATTGAAAAATCCTGAATACGTTAAAGATTATAATTTTAATTTCGTCAATTACTTTAAGTCGGTTTATTTACTTTTAATATGCTTAAATTAATAAAATATTTTGCGGAAAAATTGTAATTCAAATATGTACAGGTAAACGTCTGGTAATTTTGTAGTACAAGTGTTTACATAATAAAACCTAAAAAACTTTACATGCGTAGTTTTTACTTATTTATTTATATAATAACAACTATTTTATAATTAGAACCTGTAAGGGCAGATACTTTGGGTCCAATCAGTGTTAATGTGAACTCTGAAGTTTCTGTTAAAAGTCATAGAACAGGTATAAGAGGTCATAGAGGTCTTTTGACAACAGTCTCAAGCCACAAGAGACATCATAGGCGTCATGCTAGCAGCAGACCAGATCCGCTTCTTACAGTAAAAAGTAATGTGGATCAAACGCCGGCAGAAATTTCGGAGCCCCCCCCTCCCACATCAAATGTTACAAAAAAACAAACGTCTGTTGATTCAGCTGATCTTTCATCTTCTGGACGGCGAACTCCATCATCTATTACTCAACCCGTACCATTAGCACCATCTCTTTTCAGCTTATTTCTCAACGCACCACTTCTTCAGCCACATACTCAATGGCTTTACTCACAGCTCTACCCAAACCCATATCTCAATCATTTGCGAAACACTATGATTTTTGACAACGAGTCAACAGCTGCAGCAGTGGCGGCGGCAGCCGCTGTCGTCAATCAAAACAACAACAACAATGAAGAAGTAGTTTCTACCGAAAAAAAATCACCGTCTAATCTTATGAACCAAGCGCCCTCTCCCTTCATCGAGAATACTAACGACTCGGTATCAACTAAGACTAATTTAAAACAAATGGACGTATGGAGACCGTACTAAAACCTTTTGTTTTAAAAGCTAAAAAAAAATTCTGAATAGTTATAATTCTTATAACCTTGTTATTTTTTAATAATTTTATGCATTGGGCATCATAAATATACAAGGAATATAATGATGATTTTTGCTATTATGTGATAAAATATACCGTCTAACTTTGTTAAAAACGTCTTTTAGAAATATGAAAAACCATCAAAATACATTTTATTGACTTTGTTTTATTTCTAAGGTGAATGATAACTAATTTTTACAATTGTAAAATTATTGTTTAATATATTATATGTATAATCAAGTTTAAATGTAATTGTTTTAAATACGAGAATTGTGTTCACTTTAATACAATAAATGAACAATTATTCTAATAAAGGAATTATATAATTATTTGTATTATTATTATTAACTTTTATTATTAATTTTTCAAATGTTAAATTTAAGTTTATCTTTTAAATTTATTTTGAATTCTTTATTTTGTTTTGTTTTTTGTGTTTGAAAAAGAAAAAAAATATTCTTTCATTATCATTATTTTATCAAATAAGTAAAACTATTTCTATTTAAAATAATTTTTTTGCAATAACACTTAAAAATGATGAAGATTGGTTATGATATTTCGATAATACAGGGTTATCGAAATAGCTTTATATCAATCAAAATATATCTGAGCAATTAGATGATAAAAATCCTTAAATTATTTTAGTTTCATATAAAAAAAAACCCAGCACAGTAGGCCTAGTTCAGTATAGATACTACTAGTTCAGTAGTAGTCCAGTATAGATGATATCTGACAGTGATTAAAATCACTATCATAAAAAACGCTTTGACGCAAATCTGTAGATACTGTTTAATTTTAAAAAATTGGTGGATTATTCCAAAAGCTATATGATCTCCTATTTCCGCATTTATATCTGAATACAAGTTTTATAATTCGTAGTGTAATATATGAATAAATGTATAAATATATATATATAAATATATATTTATAATATATAAATATATAAAGGGTAATAGTCCGATTTAAAAAAAAAGTTTGTCGCATAAAAGAAAAATATAAATAGTACCTATCTTAAAAAAATTATAATGATCCATACATTTTTCAAAAAGTTATAGCGTTATAAAGTTAAAAATATAAAAAATAAATTTTACAAAAATCGTATTTTTTTTATTAACTTTGATGTCCGTTTTCACCGTAAAGACGAAATAAAGTCCAAAATTTTTTTTTCCATGATAAAGCATATTACATAAACTTTAATTTAAGATATATATAAAAGTGTCAGTATTTCTGGAACACTTTCAAAAGTTAAGTTGAAAAAGTTATTTCTTGTGAAAAAGTTGTCATTTTGAATGCCCTTCTGTGGGCAGGTATAGGGAAAGATTTATAAAAAAATATATCAAATGATAGGTTAAGACATCATGCATTTATAAAAAAATATTGATTTGGTTATTTTTGAAAAAGTTATGGCAGTTTTAAGTGAAAAAAATTGAAAAAATTTCGAAAATTAGCGATTTTTAAATTTATAATTTTTTTGAAGATTCCCCCATTTACGGGAAATGAGTGAAATTTTTTCAATTTTTGAGGGTAACGTCTTCGACTAGTTACGAATTTTAATCTTTAGACGTATCGTTGAAAGAAATCGGTTCGGTGAGAGCTAAGAAAAGGTGGTAACAGTCACAAAAAAAAAAAAACACATCATAGTAAAATTCATACTTTCTCAGCTTCGCATCGATGCTAAAAATTAATTAATAATCAATTTTTCGAATGAAAGTTTTAATTAAAAGTTAATTGTTTATTTTTCAATCTTATTTGAATACAAATAAAGTAAAATAAATTGATATTTCAGGGTTTACATAAAAAAGCTATTACTGATTTTATTTAATAATTCACTAAATACTAATTTTTACTTCATTATTTGAAACAAACAAAAGGTTTCTTTAGATATGACCCCCTTGTTAAATAAGTATCATAAAAATGAATAAAATTTCATTGTTTTATTATTAAATTTTTATAGTACATTTTAAGCAATTTAAAGAATTTATTTATAGATAATTAATTATTAATAACCATTCAAATAACTGGTTAGTTATTAATGATATACATTGTGCTTTCATATGAAAGTGAAAAATGGACAATTGATAAGAAAGTCAGAAGCAAACTAGAAATATTAGGGTTATAGATATCAATAAAAATGACAAAGACAAATTGGATAGACAAGAAAAAAAACGAGAAAGTGATTGAAGAAGTACGAGAAGAAAGACTGCTAATGAAAGAGTCTGAATAAAGAAAAATAAAGTTAATCCGACACAATGACTTTATAATCAACATCTCCGAAGGAAAAATAACTGGGAAACCTACAGGACATCCAAGGAAATGGTATTTTGAAAATAACCTGGAACTTATGAACTGTGTGTCTTTTCTTTCACTGAAGAAATTGGCGTTAAACAGAGAGAAGTGTCTTCAACGGCATGGCATTGCCTTTAATGTATGATGATGATGATAATAAATAATCTTAACTAGTAATGTAAAATTACAAAGAAAATATTCTTCTAGAATACTATCGAGAATGAACTTTAGTATATTCTATATAAGTAAAACATTCTTTTAACTTGTTTTTATTATATTTAATATTGCCAACATGTATAAAAGTGTTTACAATTTATCTATTTAGCTTTAGATCATTAGGTATAACAAAGTTAGAAATACAGTTTTACTTCGAATAAAAGTTAACAAATTATCAAATTTATGTTTTCGAGATATATTTAGAAGTGCAAAGTTTTTTACTTGATAGCCAAATTTACGATATTTATTATGATTTTTTTTTTAACAGGGTATTATTTTATTAAATTTACACTAAAGCATACTTTTGAGAGGGTTATATACTTTGGATTCGGTACAATGAACAGACGTTTCCCAAAAATAGGAACAGACACTATATTTTAAAAAAATTTTGCTATTATTCATATTATTATTGTATAAAATAAATTACATTATTCCATTATTTCAACAAGTAAAAATATTTTAAATTATCATCAAAATTAATAATATAGGTTAATTTAAAAAGAAATTACTGTAACACTGTTTAGCGCTTTTATTTTTATCATAATACACAGATAAGAAGTTTACTACGTTATGCACTTCTTTCCCCAATATCTAAAAAATATATTGACTCAAAAACTAATATTAAAAAACTGGTTATTGTCCAGTCAAAACTTATAAAGTATATTCATTTAACTTTCAAAAGTTACTTTTAATAACAATTCTTTTTTTTACATTAAATTTGATGTTGTACAAAAATAAAACAAACATTTTTCAGTAAATTTTTTTGAAAAATTATTATATAACCAAAAAGTTGAAGATATTATTCTTAAAAAATCATAATGTATAATTTTGTAAGGTAATCAAAAGTAACAATTTTTTTATACTAAGCACGACAAATAACTTACAAAAACACAATCATAAGAAAAATAATATGTAAAGCTCTAAAATTTAGAAGAATTGCAGTTGATTACTTAATTATTGAACTAATTATAATGAAAAAGTTATAAATATTTTGCAAATTACGATTAGTTTGGTTGACAAATAAAGCTAACTAAAACATGAAATATTAAATATTTAAGTACGCTATATAATATTCTATAATATTATTAGTGTTTAACATTATATTAAATATCAAAAAATGAATAAGTCTATTGAAAATATTCTACGAAGACATAAAAAACTACGAGAAATAACTTATAAAATATAACTACAATTTCCTAATGACCTATTTTAATGAAGTATTTCTTAAGATAATTTTTGAGAATAGTTTTGAAAATAATCTTTTTTAATGTAAGAATAATATTTCATACATATTTTTATCTTTTTTTTTTAATATTTATTAAATATTATAATTTTCTAATATTTATTAGAATAATTTGGACCGTAAAAACAGTATATTTTTACTTTAGACCAACTTGAATCAGACCAATATTTTATCTTAAGACTGGACCAATCCAAATCGTAAACTAATCTGGTTGAATTTGGCCCAAGTCAAAACGAACCCTGTAGAGCTCTATTATATTCAAATTAGTAATATTTTTACATAATAATTTAATGCACAATAATTATTCACTGAATAAAAAACTCTATTAGAACAGAAGCTTATTTATTATCATTTTAAGACGCTTTTTTTTATTTATATATAAAAAATTTATTTGTTATAATAATTTTTTGAAAATAATTTGATAGAGTTACATTTAGTTAAATTTTATTTTTACGTTTAATTCTTCTAGTTAAAGATTAAAATTATTAATTTGTATTAATTTGTCCAATCCAAGTTCTATATAATAATGTGACAATGAACTATTATAAAATATTGTTATAATTTCTTTAAATTTACTAACGATATCCTGAGGACGATGCTCTAATTTATCTAATAAGTTATAATAGGTCGAATCAGTCACTTTAATTTTTATTTCATTAATCAATTTTAGCCTACTAGTATATTCACACTGGTTCTGCAAATAATTCAAAGTCTTTTTTTTAAAGATCTCGAGCTTTATTATAATAACTTGAGCTTCATCACCATAATCGAAATTGCCTATAGCGTTGATCTTGAAATCGTATAATATTGAACTAAGTGGAGATATATCTAATTTGGCATTAGTGGTAAAAAATTGCAGCACTGCACTCAAACATGTGACCAAGCGGTCAGCCTTCCGAACTAAATTAACTAAAGATTGTATGCAAACTTTGCTATGAACTTGATTAGAATCGGATGTAGAACATTCGATTTTACAAGCATGTGCCATGCCATCTAGATAAACTATTAACATATCGAATAATTCAGCATATTTACAGTTTAATAGATAATAGATTTGAGATGTTATAATTTTATAATTATTTTCATTTACCTCTACTTTATTATTATTTGTTTTAGTATGGTATAATACCTTTTTCATATCATAATAATCTGGTACTACAATGTTTTTAATTACTACTTTTACTCTAGGACCATCGAATTTCGTCCAACCTTCTGTGGAAAGAAGTTTATTTAATGTATCAATGTCCAGAGTACGTTCTGAGTTGCTTGATAGAACAAATGTAAACAATATCCATAGATTAATAGCCAATTTTGAACGCATTATATAAGACGTACTATGTCGCGTAGAATAAAAAAAATGCATTGCACAATAAAATTTATATTTTAAATTTATAAAAACCGATAATCTATATATGTATAAAGTAACTTAATTTTTTCTACTATTTCACCGAAAAATAAATAAACGTGTGAGAGTTAAAGAAATAGAGAACAATTGATGATTGTGCCAGTATTTATTTA